CCTGTTTTACTGGTAGCAACAGTTTCCGCGTTCTATCGATCACGACAGCATCCAGGACACAGTAGCATGTCTGAATGGCTGAGCTTAAACGCTTGGTCGTCCTCGTTGCGGCACGTAACCCTTAATTGAACAGGACCGACTCCATTCACAGAATGTTGTCCATACTGAGCGACGAAAAAGAATTCCCACGTGTCGATCGACCGAAGAGCTTATCACAGGTAGGTGCTCGTGTCAGTCGCCATTTAGAATTACTTCTATTGTGTCTCGTCACCGACCACTAAACTTACAGGTCTCTTAAGCACAATGGCTCCTCAACGTCACAGACGTACTGGTTGTCATAAACGCAAAATGGAAGGATACCACTTGGACCAAGTTCATCATTATTGAATTCCGCGCAGCAAAAATTAGGGCGTTGCTTATTACGAATCCTAGACTCACTCAGACAACATTTCAATCCACACGTCCTTAAGGATTCCTTCAAAGTCACTGAAGATCTCGACCACATCAAGGCTGACAAGGCCATGTGGTCTTTAGACGTACAATCGATTTTTATTAATGCCAGTTGTTTGCTGTCGAAAACTTCCGTGTGCAATACTGACAGACCTACACACTCTCTGCTGATCTTTTGTTCCGCACACGGAACATTGGATTCAGTTTCCAACAAACATTTTAAGGCCAAACCTATGGAATAGCTGGGGGCAGTCCGTTAGGCCCTGTACTGGCCGACTTTTTCCTGATAATGCTAAAAAGGAACCTAAGTGAGATTTCTGAAGTTGCTTACTACAAACGAGATGTCCATCACATTATCGTGTTTGGTTCTTAGAGGATGCAAATTGAAGGCTTGCTACACAAGTTTAATAGCTTCCATGTCAAATTAAAAATAACTGAAGAATTTGTGAAGAATGATTGCCTGTCGTACTTGAACATTTTCATCAGACTAGGGGACATCGGGCTCGTCAATCGGAAGCCACCATGATCTGCACAATATCTGCAAGTAATCAGTTTTACACCGATGGATCACAATCTTACACTGGTGAAAACCTTATCAACTTGTGCCAGGCGTATTTACTTAAACGATTGTCTGACTAAGGATACAGTGACGATTACCAGAACGTTCATAGAAAATTGCTACTCCGGACGCTTCATCGAGAATCCTAGGCAGGTCACACCGCCGAACGAAACGCTATTGACATCACCTAGGAAATAATTGTACGTAGAGGTACGGCAAACAGACAGACCACACGTTCACCTAAATAGTAATTGCAGTGTTTACTCAAACTAGATGAGACGGCGTAAACATAAAGTCGAGGAAGCATCAACCAAAAGGTTATTCATCCGCAGCCTATAAGGATATCGATTTGCATTAGCATGCGCTGAACTCATGTAGAAGATGCCATGAAGTCTAGAGAAGACCACATTAGTTGTGCGTTAGTGTACCTAGACGAACAATAATTTGGTGTTCCATCTGATTTTAACAGAAGCCATGGATTTTTCGGCGATTTTTCACTACCGATGATGTATTCAATAACCATTTTCGCCCTCCTTTCACAAGCATAAATGCCCCAATTGTGATCCAAATTGGTTCACCAGTGGATGCCATCAAAACGCAGTAATAGGTTGGCAAAAGTAACAGACAGGGTAGCGAATGTAACGGCGTTTCCCATACGCAAACGCTACACCTCGTTTTCCGATTGGTTATGGCAAAAACAGCAAGCTAACCGAACTTCGTATTCCTCAGGTCTCCATGCATTTGGACCTAGTTATGGTCACCGAAACATAGCTAAACGCTGAGATCAATGATGCTGAGATTGTACTACGCGGCATGACCTCAATACGAAAACATCGACCTAGCGGTGGAAGGGGAGTGCTCCTGTATTATCGATCCGACCTGAATGTTAATATTATTGAGGACCCAGAAACGAAAGTGGTCGATTCTCTTTGGTGTCGTATGCACCCAAGACGTGGTGATGTGTATTTACTAGCAATAGTTTACCGCCCTCCAATGTTCACCTTGGAAATGGATCAATACCTAGTTTCTGCGATGAAACGAGTCCTGGCATGACCAGACAGTCACGTCTTTCTGGTGAGGCACATCAACCTGCACGCAATCGAAGTTCCAGCATCGTACAGCGAACAACTCAAGGCTGATTTGCGAGAGGTAATCGCCGATGTACCTCTGTACAACCATGTCACCACTCCCACGCGATTCCGAACGGGTGACACACCATCTGTTTTGGACCATGTCCTCTCCAATAAGGAACTAATGGTCGACACCGTGACCATAGATGCACCACTTGGCCATAGTGATCACGCGATTTTGCTTTTTCCTTTACATCTGGTACTCGGAGTAACTCAGTGAGAACAACGCGGAAACCTATGTCGTTACACATTACGATATCCTCTCCAACCTCGTTCAAGAAACCAACTGGTGCTTCCTGGCCGAGAAGCCTCCGATGTCTTCTGGATGTTGTTCGTCACCCAATTCACCGAACTAGTGACGAATGTGCCAGAAAGCAAGGTCCTTTGACCGATGCAAGTGAATCCGTTCCAGGGCAGCCGTGCTAGAAAATGCATGGCCTTAAGTGATTCAGCCTGGCACGCTTACAAAGTCTGTCCAAGTAACCTGACCTGTGGTGCTTTCACATTTCAATGTACCCACTGCGTCAAGTTGGTCCGCGAAGAGAAACTCCAGCACCAACCGAACTTAGCGGCAAAACTCAATACAAATCCCAAGTTGCTGTATAAACACGTCAACAAGTTCCGCAGAGTGCAGCGCGGGATACCGGCTTTACGTGCAACAGATGGTCTTGTGCAAACCGCACAAGATGCAGCCAACGTGCTTCGCCAACATTTCATCCATACGTTCCCGAGTGAATCATCATTTCACACGTCTTTTGACACAGCTTCCATCGCCACCAGGGTTGAACCACGTATCGTTCACGGCAGCCAATGTGATGAAAACGCTAATGTCATTGCGCGTGCACAGCTCACCTGGCGTGGACGACATCAAACCGAAGGCATTGAAGACAGCGGTCATGAAGCATGCCGAACCATTAGCTCAGTGCTTTCAACGTTGTCTCGACGAAATGCAGGTTCCCACAATGTGGAAACATGGACTAGTCACTCCTATTTATAAAAGTGGTAATCCTTCGGAGCCCTCGAACTACCGTCCAATCACTCTCCTCCCAGTTGTATCCAAAGTAATGGAACGTATAAATGCAGAGGTGCTCATGGGATATCTTGAGAGCAACGACATCCTAGTGTCACAGCAACCCGAATTCCGCCGAAATCGATCCTGCACTACAAACATGCTGCTAACCCGAACAAGCTGAACAGAGTCAGCCGATGCCAGAGTGGGAGTCGACGTTGTCTACCTGGACTTATCGGAAGCGTCCGAGCGTTTAGACTACTGCATTCTCCTTCACAAGTTTCGAAGCTATGGAATCGGTGACCCTATACTCAGTTGGATCGACAACTTCCTCACTCAATGTCAGCTGAATGTGAGAGTCCGCAGCTCCATTTCTGACTCCATTGATGTACAGTGTGGCTTGCCTCAACGATGGGTACTGGGGTTACCTTTATTCCTCACATTCATTAAAGATCTTGGCAGTGTACTGCAGTCGAATTGCTTGCTATTTGCAGATGATGTTAACATTTGGCATGATATCAGGACATCGGATGATCACACGACATTGCAGATCGATCTCGACAGAGATTATGCGTGGTCATCCGACAACCGGCTCCAGTTCAAACTGACCAAGTGCAAATTCGTAAGCATACGCCATCAGCTCATCTATGAATATCGACTTGGGGACAAGCAGTTTCAACGTGCTTTCCAAGAAAAAGACCTCGGGGTGATCGTGCAGTTCGATCTTGGTTGCTCGAGACAGGCTGAAAAGGCATCAAAAAGAGCCAGTAAACTTCTTGGACTCTTACGGAGGGCCTTCGGAAAATTTGAGTCATCAATCTGTCCACAAACGCTAAACGCCTACGTGAGGCCTCACGTGGAATATGCGATCCAAGCCTGGCGTCCCTGGCGCAAGCGCGACGTCGATGCACTTGAAGCTCCACAACGTAGAACGACCAAACTCGTTAGAGGATTGTTTCATCTCTCCTACCAACGCAGACTGCAGTCGCTGCGATTGTACAGTGGTGAATATTGATATCAGCGAGTAGACCTACTCATGATTTTCTTAATACTGACGAACCCAACTCACTTATATCGCAATGAGTTGCAACTGAGGCAAAATACCAACCTGAAAGACCATCAGCTCAAACTGGCTACGCACTACAATCGACCTGATTATCGACGAAATGTTTTCTCCCTCCGTGTGTCCCGTGCCTTGAATGCTCTTCCGACTCACGTTATGCTGCCCCTACATTAACGCTATTCAGAAAACGCCTTGATGAAATGCTTGCAAACTTGCATTACTTGATATAGTCACTTCCACTTGGAGGACGAAATAGCACAAAGCTAACCATGTGCTTAACGGCCCTCTCCACAACGTGGCAGTGCGGATACATGCAGAAGTGTCCATGTGAGTAGTCTGGATGCATCTAAACTGGATAAATATAGCTCATCTGTCAAATGATGAAACAAAGGAGTGAGCGTTGTCGTTTTCATTTTTTATTTCTCACGCGATTACTGTAATATAACAGCTCTCTATACTACTTTGTGTGCGGACATCCCATTCCCACTTCAAACTATCGTTATGCGGTAGTGCTTTTAAACAGGTGGATGCTTGAAATAACGATTTACTTATTCGGTGTTCCTTTAAATGTTAATTATTACTTCAACCATCCTACATGCTTTTGCACCCGTGACAAATCATTATTCATTGTTCTTTCTACATTGAGAGATGCAGCATTTCACTAAAAGGTTGTTAAACAGCTGGACAACTTTGAATAGAGCTGCAGCTTCCATGCTAAAAATCCCATAAAATCAGCACAGGTATATAGCGTTTAGAATGGCTGCATCTATGACAGCAATTGGAACTTACGGTAATCGTCGCATAGTCCTCATTATCTATTAACGTTGATATGTTTGCATGAACTGATCGCAAGTGGAAAAACATGACACAGGACATTTTCTAGCACGAGTTGTGTTACGTTTGACTATGAGACGTCAGTTTCAGTGCCCAAGGGAGTAGCCAGCTGAACAAAGGTATGTAGCTCTTGAACGCGAGGAGTGGTTGGGCTCGCCCTGCAATTTTCCGGCATATTCATAGTACTTGAAACCATCTCGCAGGAGCAACCGGGCCGACACCGAACTTCTGATGGGTAGTGAGCTGACAAAATGCGTACGCATTCACACGGTCTGTACGACATCACACTATGATCACTCTGCGTTTCTGCTGTGGAAGCTGAATTCGTAGAAAACGCCTGGTCTGTATACACTGATTCAGTCTGAGATCGCGCAGGAACGGCAATGGCCTCTGATGGGAAGTCGTTTGGATTTCGACCAGCAGGTGAGTGAAGCCGATTGGTTGCAGCTAAAGTGGGTGGAGATTTGGCCAGCACGTTCTGGGTGCTGGGATTCACAGCTGTAAAAAAAGGACGAAAAATAACGGGAAAAACCATTTTGTTTACAGTCAGGTCACCTATAAGGGGGCAACGACATTCCGTGAAGAGATATTGTTTTCGAAATGAAAGCCATCAAATCAGGCTCATTTACGGCAAATATATATCCGCCCAATGTTGTAAGTTTGCTTTGTTATCACTAAATCCTTGGTTACATTGGGTCGGAGTACTGTCAACTTGCTTTGAGTTCAAAACCTTGAGCACAATGTAGTAGGAATTCGGTGTAGGTCTATAAAGATGTGCGCCACCGAAACTCCAAACTCAGGCCTGCAACCCAGAAGACCACAAACCTTGGTATGGTCTCTTAACGATAACTAAACTGCTGTAACTGTCGCGGAGTGTTGGCACGGCCAAACATGGTTCTATGTCTTTAAGAGCAAGTTAACTCCCAAATCATCAACATGACAATGTAACAGAACCAAACTAGTCTGCTGGGTACCGGAGCACAGTAACGCAGCAACAGATCGAACACAGATAGCGCTTCAATGACAATCGCTATCCGCAGCTTGGTAACGTCGGCAAAACGGCGTGAAGCAGTTGTCCGCATAGCTTGGATTAGAGCCACCGGACGAGTGGTGAGCGGACGACAACCGATATGTGTCTGTTTTACTTACTGCCGCAGTGGTACAACGGACCATAACCCAGTTCAACCATAATAGCGATACGCATTGACAGTGTGTGTCGTAATCTATTCACATAACGGATGATTCGAACCGGACCCATATTGAAAGGCAACTGGAACTTCGGTCACGGATCTTCTACGACTCTGTACCATCTTTAGTGAGCGGAACACACCATGATCACAACTGATAAAAACATAAAGGCATAAGGACCCATTGGGATTCAGTCTTCATGCATTCACAAACTGGCTAGTCAGATGCTCATAGACCAAACAGCTGCTACAAATTCTTGTGCTGAATAAGGACCTAACCCGAGATCTATAAAACTGATTGCACTAAGAAAATAATAATTATAAAAATTCACCAAACAAGTCATTTACACTACGTTACAAACACTGCCGAAGCCAACCTGCGTATTGTTCCTTTTCACGGGTTCCAGATGGCTTGCTAGGGGCAGCGCAGTTCGGGTTCGAAACGGTAAGCACATCCGTGAAATTCCCAAATGTTGGTCTTCTTAAGGACATTTCCGGCATATGGAACATTGAACACCCTGTGGCGTCCAAGTTCGTCTCACACTTGGTGTGCGGTCTTAAACTTGATTTAACAACTGTGCATCGTCTGGGGGAGTGTGCTTCGCTTATGTAATCGTTTTTCACTTGCGTTGAAGTACAGGTGATTTTCGACTGAATGGTAAAGAAGAAGAGAACAATAAGCAATAGTTCCTGTAGGTGAAAGTGTACGATTTTCGGCCCAACCCCTGTAAGCGGCAAAGCACTTGCAGGCCTTGGACAAAAGCGTTTCCAATGGAATCGAAATAGCAAGGCGGAAATTGGATAATGGTTGTATTCACTATCAATTCGAAACATCAAACACACAATACCTAAAAAGTTTACGCTTCCATTATAAGTCCACATCAATAAATGTTAATTCATTCAATATAGCCTCCATATAAGGCTTCAAATATCACAAGTACAAACCAACAGCGTCTTAATACACAGCGTTTTTTTACATAACAGTGCATGTGTGATACGGAGCCTTGAGCGGTATGTCTGAGTGTCACGTACAGTAACATTTTCTCAATGCAATGGTTCAACAGTGCAGGAAAGACATTACTATCAAACATGAAGCCCAATCACATCAAAGCTCGAAGAATGTGAGCCCACTGACAATAGGAGGATTTTTTGGCCGCTCTCATGCGTGTCAATGTAAGAAAACATGAGGTAGATGTCAATCTCCAAAACGGCGCAAGAGGACAGAAAAGTGCAATCGGGTGTACCAGACGTAAGGACTGAACAGCTTTGCATCAAGTCGAAACGAATTAAATGTGTGGGCGTGTGAATGTGATGGGACAAGTTCTCAAACTGCAAGTGAACATAGAACAAAGTTGACAGTCAGGTCTCAGAATCAAAATCGAGTTCCAGAGCAGACTATCTCTGGTTTAGCGCATAGTGAAGGTTGGGTAATTGGTAAGGGGAATCCCGGTGAGGAGAATATTGAGTGGGACAAACGTCGCCCAAGCTATGGTATTTTCGAATTCTTATACTATTCCTATATCCGGAGTAAAAGGGACGAATTGTTGTACGAACCCTAGATGATGACTAGCCACGTATCATTGGTGGGTGTGCGCCTAGCACTAAGGGGAGAACAACCGTCTGCCTTAACGGTTCACTTTCAGAAAACCGCAAGACAAGATTAGCCAAAGGAGAAAAGGAGTGAATAAGCTAAAAGAATACTTTATGTGGTGCTACTGCAAGTTATGTTCGTTTAATCTTCACGTTTAAGCAATGGAGCTAACCACGGTCGGTTCAGTAGTTGTTATGCAGCTATATATAGATTATATATAGAATACAAAGACTGAGGTGCATATGTCATATTCGAATTACAATTGGACACGGATGACGCCAAGCTATGTATATATGTATACCGAATGAATTCGACGAAGATACTCATACCGCTTTTGTACGGCTAAGTTACCACAGGGAAACGGCACTCGAGCAAACCGAAAATAACATTACAAGAACTTGACGGTGAGTTCAGGTGTTGTGAATCCAAGGCAAATTTGATCGATGCGAACTCCGTGGACTGATCATAAGGGCGGTTGCTCAGGTGGAGGAGAAGGTACTATTGCACGTAGAATAGAAGCATTATGAGTACGCTCCCATCCGATTTCCTAATTCAGGCCAATAAGGCGGCGTATGTGATACGATTGCTGGCCTGCTGAGTAATCTTGCATTTCAGAAGTAGATGTCGTTTGAACTTCCCGGTGTGGATGCGCTTGATGTGAATGTTGACACGCTGTCTACTTGTCTATTACCCACTACCTCGTCCATACTGGCTCCAGGAGACAGTCGGTCGTCACTGGAGGGGACGGAGTGTACCGTCCTCGTGATGGTGCTAGGCTCAAAGAGTGGTTCCATCCTGTGTGGAACGGACTACGGTCCAGTCACCGCCATGTCTACGTCTGATATGCATGAGTTCCCAATTAGGCCGGAATGCTTCTGTTTTGCTTGTCGAAGGAGTGTGGGCCGGCTCCGTTGCTGAAACGTGGCTCCAATCCACATGCCTCCCGGGTCTTATTCCTTCGGGTTTACACCGGATATGGGGTGTGTGGGTGGAACTGTGGGTAGTGCAGCGCAAGCCACCCATGGTCCCCTTTGCACGCGCAGGCGTCCTGTGGCTCTCCCCATGGAAGCCACAGTGACAGGCGAATCCGGATACGGATGCCGCCATACCATATATAGACTACATACCGATAGAGTGGCAGCAAAGGACTCAACTCCATTGTCCCCGTTTTCCTAAACCTCCATACACATTGGTGTTACGAAGATATATTGAGCTCATTGGGTGCTCAGCTGGTTGAATACCATATTCTAACTTCGCTCGCTTTAGCAGATGTGGTAAGCACATTAGGAGAGTACGCGGATATGCGGTAAACTTCAAAGGGAGAGAAGGCTATTAACAAATTGCTTCCCATGTCGGAATAACGGAAAATACGATGAATATTCAAAAAGAAGCCGAACTTTGAAATGGTTTGACAATCGGCAGTAGAAGCGCGCTGCGGCTACTGAGCGCATGTGGAGGCTTGTTTAGACAACAGCAAACTGTCATTTGTCGCATTTTGCTCTGACTGTTAGTTGGTGAGCTACAGCGGCTGTAGTGAGCACGTGCACAAGCTGTTCGTCGGATTAGTGCTACAGACAATGAAAGAGCTTGAAGAACGACGCGTGTGTGTATGTGAAATTTTGCTACAAACGGCAGAACTTCTACAGGGCATTTAATTTGCTTCAGCAAGGATGCGGGGAGGACTGTATGAGTCGTACGCAGTGCTATAAATACTTTAGGTGTTTTGAACATGTCAAAACGTCGGTCGGTGACGATCCCAAGCCTTGACGACCTTCCACATCAACAGATATTTACCATGTCGAGAGAGTTCGTGCTGTGGTCCGTGGAAATCGTCATTTAACTGTTCGAGAAGTTGCCGACGAAGTGGGTATCAGGGTAGGATCATGTCATCAAAGACTAGCGCGTTTGACGGATGATGTGCGCAGGGAGAGGCTTGAACTGTCGGAAAACCAGACGGGAATATTGCATCATGACAATGCGCCGGCTCACACATCACTATTTGTCCGTAGCTTTCTAGCAAAACATCACACTCCCGTTGTGCCCCAGCCACTATTCTCCGAACCTAGCTCCAGCAGACCTTTTCTTGTTACCAAAACTTAAAATTCTGTTGAAAGAGCGTCGTTTCTAAACCATGGAGGAGATACAGGACTATGCGACAAGTGGCCTGAGTGCCATCCCATGAGGCTTTGCAAAAATGTCAACATCGTTGGGAACGGTGTATTGCCAGTAGGGGAAAGTGCTTAAAACGTTGTGAATTGAACAATAAGGATGTTATGGCAAAAGTTCAGTTTCATTTTGTTCACCCCTCGTACTTGCAAATTGAGTCGGTGTACCCACCTCACAGAGCCAGCCATGGGCGAATAAATAAGTGTTGAATTACATTGCCGGTGTGCCTAGGAACGTAAACTAGCTTCAAGCTGCTCTTGCTTCGCATGTCAACACGGTTTGATGAAAAATATCGTAATTGCCTTGTTGAGGTCGATTGTGTAGGTAATGCAATCGGTACTAGATTTACACAGTCGATAGTAGGCGCAAATGGGTAATGTCGTTTTGGCTGGTGCGACAATCGAATATTTTCCAGCCTCGTGACAACAATCAAACGCTAAGGTGAATGAGGAGTTTCAGTCGTGTTTCCCAGACTCCGTCTTTTGTACAGGTGGAAAAACCGTGACCTATAGCTGTGATAGAACGAATTTATATGGGACAACGAACTTTGTTCCCGCATCTAAGTACTCAAATGTAGTTAGTGCTTTAGTTTTTCATGACGTTTTCTGGACTGTGCCTCAACCTATTCCGGTAAAAGCAAGGCTGCATGTGTTATACATCAAGGAAAATTAATGGATCGCGACCGTTTAATATCATAGTTATTTCTAAGCACAAACTCAGACTATCTGCATCTTAGCGTCATTGATAGTGGAGATTCATTCACAGTTGTCCGTGGTACATGGATTAGATAACATCAAATTCACAATCATCCAACCGCATATGATATGGCTACTAATACGAACCAAAACAGTCCATCAGTCGTTCTATAGTTCACTATGAAAAGCACGTGTTGCATTTCTCTTGCGTAGCGTTACTGAAAAAGACCGAGGGAGATTAAAAAAGCACGTGCACCAAATAACTAGCGGGAGGAACGGGAAGCGCAGCTCACTGGCGGATACTATACAACAGTTAACGATTCGCCTGCCACCAGCGACTACAGATGTGAGAGGAGTGTAATTTTTCGTTTGCCGTGTGCAGTGGAAACAAAGGAAAGGGCAAATGAAAGCTAGAAGCCGAAAGACTATATGTCGACCCTCAGTACATGAGGGATGCGTAGAAACGTAATGCGCCCGGCATAACCTATCGAGCGCCAAGTTTTGGTAGTCACATTGTAGTGACACAGTAGGTAACAATCACTGGAAAGAGTGGAAAGCCACTAGAACGATCGAAGACCGCAACGGGCGCAGACATCATAAACGAGATAATACGGCGCAACGCAAATCCACCATACGAGTGGATAGTAACTCACGAGCAACGAACTGGAGCAGGCCTGAGCCAAGGAGAACAGAAAGTGGATAGGTCTAAGAGCCAATAAATCAGACAGAAGTAAACTCAGGCCAAATAACGCAACAGACGTAATGCAAATCAAGAACCTTAGAATAACTCATCTCTGGTCAGAATGAGAGCTATGGAAGCAGAGACATGGAGTCACACAGGCAGCCAAAGCCCTTAAAGTTGCCGAGAAAAGACGCACGAATGTGTATCTTGTAATTTCCCATGTATGTTGCGTTGTGGGTCGGAAACATGGTCGATATATGCACGCGTGCGTGCAGCTTGTTGAACCGTGGTCGCAAGCCATAAAGATTGTGCCTTTTGCCGCCTCGTTTTTGCTACAACATGACCCAATTACCAAACCAGCCACCGGCCTCGTTTCATTGAACGAGGGCCTTCTTCGAGGTATCGATGGCCCAGATTATAAGTAAATAAACGGCATATTCCTCCACGATGTGAGGCACAGTCAAACTGGGTGGTCTGATCAATTTGTACAACGAGATCATATGAAGCAGGTAATTGTTCACGTTCTGCACTATGGATCCAAAACGAATTTTTTGAACTATTTAGTATGTTAAAAATTTCAGCGGAATTAAGATACTGGGAGTGTTGAAAAATTCAGTTAACCAGGTATTCAAAAAAGTAATGGGGTGATCCGTGGAACCGTCCCAAGAGGATCTGCTTCAAGGTAGGTTATTCCTTCGAAAAGCTTCACCCCAATTCCATGCTTCAGCTTGCCGTGTGCCGCTATGGCAAACCAGCAAGTTGGCCATCATCTGTTTAACATATGTTAGGGATGTTTTTTCTGCATACGTTGTGGCGATCAGTCCACTCATCTCGTTCCATCGTTCATCCATGTTGAGCATGGCACTTCTTTTTCGCATGTCAGAACGATGACAGTGGATTGTGGTTCTTATTCAATCGCATCAGTGAGTCAGTGGTAATACGCAGTCCGTTACCTCAAGAGATCATCTCAGTAGGGGCCAACAATGAAATAAGGAAAAATATAAACTATGAAGGTGAACATGACTCGTCGGGGCTAGTTAAACATAACGGAAGTTTTGAATGCCCGTACTTGGACGCTGAATCTCTTGAACGGAAAGGACTGCACAAAATAGGCAATCAGTCAATGTGCGAATTCCATGCGACGTTACTCGTTAAACTTGACTCCCGCAGCCTCCTGCAGTGAGCCGATCGAGGTCGCATGGATCACTTAAACGCAAAAATAGACCATTTTGGTGCACTAAGCTAAAATAATGTTCACCAGGACGCACTGTCGCCATATGTACATACATGTATCTTTGCCGATGTTATGATAAGGTGCAGAGTAATTACCACACAAATATTTGTGAAATCAGTTTGAACGTGGGTATAGATTCTAGTGTCCATTGCACAAGCTACTTAAGGTTTTAAACTAGAGATCTATACTTTCAGGAGTACGCCGTCAACTAAGCCATAAATATGCTCCGCTTCGTGAACATCACAGTATGGTAAGGCTGCATAAATTAACTTACCTGAGGAATTGCAGTTTTTCTATCCATAGTGGCGCAACCGGAACGAACATGAGAGTGAAAATAGCCATCTAATTGGTTTGCGGCCTGCGACTTGTTAGTGACCCGATCAGGGAATGGTTGTAAGGCATCGAAAGCGTGTGGGATGCGAGTAAAAGCCGCGGGATGCAAATAGGTGGATTTCATCGTTTCTACACACGAGCAAGGTTTTATTGTACCAATATCTTCACTACCGTAGGGCTCCAGTCGGGTGTTTGTGTCGGAGCAGCCACTACAGATGGGCCCAGCACCGCGAGCGGAAAAACACAGATCCAGTAGAAAGATTGACAAAAAGGCAAGGACCAAACCGGATACAACGACGTCAACAAGCTCCGCTGCACAAAACATAGTAGAAAGATATAACTTTAGGCATTCGAATCTATAAGCTAGGTGGGAGCAAGACAGGTACCAGTTGGTAAAAGCCTTAGGTTAAATAGTGTCGTAACCACTATACCGCCACTAACCCAAGTCTAATTGGGGATTTGTGATAGCTCGATTTGTAAAAGTTTGACGAAATTGGTTTCAAACGATTAAACAATTGATAAGGCTAACTGAATGGTGGTCCCAAGCAATCCATGTAGTGTGTAAATTTCTCCAGAGATGTACAGATTAAAATCAGCCTGGCTAATTCGGAAACTTAAATGTTAGTTCGGTGCACGGAAATGGAAGAAGACAAGCAAAGTCCATGAAAGGCTCCTCTGCAAATGAGAGCTAGCTGCTGAAGTACACAGTCGTACGATGAGAACCCGAATGGGACAAAATAACTTGATATCATTTTGTGTGTATGGTGCATCCGAAATCACCGAATGCATTAAGAGGAAAAAAATGAAATATTCAAATTTATAACGTTCTATGACACTAGAAAGTGACGGACAGTTTATTCCTCGCAAATAGGCATGTGTATGACGCTGTTTTACAGGCTTGTCTAAAATCCAGTAGTTCCGCTGTCAAGCCAGGTAAAGTTAAGAGTACATTCTCACTGAAGTTGTGAACATCAACTAGCAACCAACACAACCAGTTCGCTTTTGTTGCAGCATCGCATTTGCCATTGGTTAAACAAATTACTAGACGGTAACCGATGACTAAAAGCTTGCAGTACATCCAAGTGTCTATCAATCTCGCACGCGAGTCCCATTAACATCTTCTGTTGTAGTGAAAGACGAGGTAATTGCAACCTTCAAACAATGCGATAGGCTGGAGATTTCCTGGAGTTGCCTAAGTTCGTCGCATGAAATTCTAATTAAAATTACCATCTCATTTTACATTAAGGCGATTGGTGATGAGTGTTAAACGCATGCTGAGTTCGGTTGGCTGAATCGAGCACTGACTTTTCTGGGCGCCTCCGATGGTCACCATCGCGCTACCGCATCGGTGTTGCTTTTACAGCTAGAACAGCAGGAGTATTTTATTGTGCAAACTGAAAGCTTGCTTGCATCCACTTTCCTACGGGAATTGAAATCTGGGCTCCCAGTAAATCATACGCGCCACAGTCTGAAGGATAAACGCTCTGGCATGTTTTATTAGCACACGCATTCTCCTGAAGGGAGGGTACAGTTGACCTCATTGTGATTGAAAGAAAGGATCAAAAGCGCACCTCAGGCGGTTTGTAATTGGCTAATTCAATGCCAGCCAGTAAGCAGAAGCAGATGGTTGGGTAGGTGCCAACTCCTGTGTGAGGCAGTGTGTCTTCGGAATAGCCGAAACATATCTTACTGGTCGAATAATAGCCAACCGGATTGGGTGCCGGAAGTTATGGAGTCAATGTTGGATGAGTACTGGAGCAAAAATTGGTTCGTGTCTTATCAAAGCAAACTGGTAACCACTTTAGAGGAGAACGCCTATGTTAATTCGTCATAAGGAGACCCGAGAAGTGAAGAATGTTTGCTTATTGAGAGGAAGAATGTACGAAATGTACAAGTGAACCTAAGTGTTAACCAACCAATCATTTCAATACTTAGGAGTGGGATAGGAAAAGAATAGAAGTTCATAAGCTCGAGAAGTTGGGGATACCCATTGGTTTGTACTTGACGTAAGAGTTGCTTCAGGTCAGTTGAGTTAGTACATAATGAGTTTTAGCTGTCATAACAAACTGGGAGAATTGTTGTCATAAATAACGCAAGTCAGTGGATAGTCGCGGTTAAAATTCACCAGATTAAGGGGTCAATTTAGTGCGGTGTTTCTCCCATTGGGGATAATTACCCCCAAGGGAGTGAAACGGGATTTTACTTTTAAGTAGGAAGCTTTAAGTTGTACTTTTAATGTATTCGTCCCCGCAGCTCACGAGCTACATTGCTCAACCACAATCCGGAAAAGTATCAAAAGCGTTTCACCCCATTGAAGCTCATCAGTAGTAGTATTCCCTCGGGCCCAGATGGGGATCGAACCCATGAACGTTAGGCACTGACACCAACTAACCAGCACATTAAGCCACAGTGCAATGGGGTCGGTGGCTGGGATACATAATGTGCAAGCTAAATGGGATATAGCACGACCTCCGAGATCATGATTTTCTCTAACTAGGTCAGTGGTTCGCGACGTTCTTGAATCCATAAACGATTGCAAAAGTACGCCGCAAAAATTTGGCTTGAAAAGCTAATTACCATTGACTATTGCAGAGTTTGAAGCGAACTAATCACTGTCTACTCACAGTTAGCAGATTATGGTAAATCTGGAAAAGCACCAGACAGCGCTGTTTCGACCATCTGGGTCCCGTCAGTAGTGCGTCTTCCAACGGACCCCTTCCGTGTTCCGACCCCATGAGTTCCGGATGCCGGAAGCTAGTGCCACTTCGTCATGGGTGACAGCAGCGATTCTGCATGATTGACAGTTGAATATGATATAGCCAGGCTGTCTCGTGGTTTTCTAGACTTGCCAAAGCCTCCTGACTGAGAGTACACCGTCATTAATTATTGCTGAATTATACCAAAGATACCCAATACTCAGTGGCAATATTGCAAATGTGCTTTAAATTGCGGAACATGAATGCTACTTAAGTACTTTCAATAATTCAGTGAAAGAAACTACCCATTTCTGGGTACTACTTTATTAAATCAACAGATGATGTACTTTACTGTAGCGGTTGCCATTGCGTAGTTTCAACAACACCTGGTATATTTGGTGTGGTTTCGTCTAATGCACATCGTAACTCGTGCTTTAAGTCCATCCAGCTCCTTGCTTCGGTGTGTGATCTCTGATCAAACCAAAGCAGTTATCCGTGGCCTCTCATTTATTTCTATCATACATTCCGACTACGTCCTGAATGACAGCTTCCCACCATCATTCTTTACCGATACCTGAAACTAATCGCTTGCTTTCCCCTTCTATCTTGTAAACATTCGCTCGCTCATTTACCTGCTCGGTTGATGTATGCCCACACCCTGGTGTTCGCACAACTGTAATTTGATCTTGTATACGAACGCCTAACTCAGAAGGACAACACTCAGCCTGAAAGCCGATAGAGGCTTCGTCTAGTTGCGATGCTTTGCAGGCTGGCATTCGCACTTTGCGAAAGAAAATTTAGTACGGAATATTGTCTAATTCACTTAATAATCCACTTAATAATCATTAGTCACTGGTGGCCAATCAATAGTGATTAGGTAGTTACTTACATGTTTAGGTACAGATGAGTGCTTTTAATTTTGTTTGGAAACAGATTGTTGACTCAACCCTCGTACTTATATCACCGTAATCACCGTAAAATTACCCCCAGGTTGAGAACCAATGCACTAGGCGCTAGGTCCACAGAACTTGAAACTAGGAGGGGTACATTTTATATTACTTATGAGTAGGAGGGTTTTAGTTGTAATTTTATATGTATTCGACCCAGCAGCTCATAGGCCACATAGCTCCACACAATCTGGAAATGCACCAGAGGCCTTTTGCCCTATGTGGCATCTTCTGATTTCAACCGCTATGGACATAGCGTCTAGTGAGAGGAAGTCATGACCTCGGAGGCCAGCCACTGTCATCTGCAAAGTTAGTAACTTACGTGGAAGTGGAAGATAGGTCGTGCTATATCCCATTTAGCTTGCACATTATGTATCCCAGCCACCGATCCCATTGCTCAGTGGCTTAATCTGCTGGGTAGTTGGTGTCAGTGTCTAACGGTCATGGGTTCGATCCCCATTTGTGGACCGAGGGAATGCGTACTACTGATGAGCTTCAATGGGGTGAAACCCGTCTGATGCATTTCCGGATTGTGGTTGAGCTATGCAGCTCGTGCGACACTGGGATAAATACAGTGAAATTAAAACGGAATTTTGCGGGGTAAATAAAAGTAGGAGGATTGAGTCATCAGTCTACTGCCGGGCAAGAGTACAAATAAATGCATCTGTGTCGCAACCTGGCTCTAACTACCCAATCACTATTGCTTAGCCATCAGCGAATAATCATTAGTGAGTGGTCAGTGAATTGGACAATTTCCAATAATAAAGTCTATTGCCTAAAATCCAAGTACAGGCTTGCATAGCAACGCAGCTAGGTGGCGCCATTGTCGGTTAGCTCGTCAATCGTTGTTTTTTTATTCAGACAGTCGGTCGCCTGTGTCGAATTACAGAGTTTACTGAACAGTAAGGTAGGAGCATAGGTTAGCCGACAAGGTGAAAGCGCGAGCGAATGTTTAGGATGTATAAGGGACAAAACAGATTATTAGTGTTCTCGATGTGTCAAAATTAGTGACGGTATGAAGATGTCATCTATGATAGAGTTGGAAGTTGTCTTCGAAAACAAGTGAGGAGGCACTGAAATCTGTACATATTTGGTCCGGGATTACAAAACAGAGCAAGGAACTGAATGAATTTGAAGCACGACTTACGTTGTGAGTTAGCTGGAAACACACTAAGTATATCAGGAATTGTTTAAACTAATCAATATTAGCCATCTCATTAGGCTCCATCACGACTTGATTGCTTAAAAGTTGATCAAAAATAGACATTTTCTTTGAATGCTCGAAAGTAATTAAAAATCTATTTATTTTTCGTAGTTAAAAGCAAAAATTACTTAACTTATGAATAACATCAAACTCTAGTTTCCGAGGGTAATTGTTTAGAGTGAACCCACTTTTGAGTAACCTCCTCGATAACATTGAGAATTACTGCTCTAGTGTTGCAACAAGCATGGAACTTTCTGATTGAATCGCGTCATCGGTCATTCACATATAAAACATGCTGGGTATTATTGATGATTTTTAGTGATAGTTCAACGTCCTCACTCCATCATAAATCCATCCGCCGGCGGTGTTCCGACTGGTAGGGTTAATATAGTCCGACTCGTTTGATAGTTCCAATGTGTTTATTTAGTTCATGCAGTTAGTGGTTGTGAAGATCTCTACGACAAT